AAAGGATTTGTGTCGCTAAAGTTTCGCGGGAACGAAGTTACGGAAAATCAACTAACGAATGGAACACAGCCATTATAGTGTTTGTTGTGTTTCAATCGGCCTGGTGAGCTCTGCATTGAAAGAAATATGTCATTGACAACGGATATGGTGAAAATAGTGGAGTTTTCTTCTTCTTGAAAAAACCCTAAGAGATTGAAAAAACAGAATGTAATGTTAAAAATATAATAGGCCTAATACTAATGGTTTATAACAAGTAGAATTAATTATCTATTATGCTGGAGAAAACGCTCACACCATAACAGTTATATACTGTTACATATCTGCTCATTTGTTAATTTCCGGTATAATATCTTTCCGAGGAGCTTCAGTGACACAATTCCTTTCCTAATTAAAACTAGTTCATTCTTTCTCGATACAACTTTGTAATACACAGAATTTCCACAGTCAATACGTTTGCAATCTCGATAACAAAACACACACACACATTATATTATCGTCACTACCGCTCGCTTGACTCAATTATCTGACTCTATATCTATCTACCTATCTATTTCTGCAATTGCACTGGTTTTTCTCGCCAGGCTTATATAATAAAAAAGAGGGCACCCCGAACAAACTCAAGCCTCCCCGATAATTCATGATCCTTCCATGAGTGCTCCCAGAGTCACGCGACTTCCGCTATCGTAACACTGCCCCTTCCTTAGTATTGTTTATCCCAAACAATAGCCACTTACATTAAACCAATAGATAATTAACAATAACTTAATTAAATATACAGAATTTACAAAAACAAAATAAAAATACAACAAAGTCTCCTAATTTTAAAGGACGTATCTTCTTCCATACTGTTCTCCATCTCATTGGCTTCTGCTTCATGTGGGGTTCATCTGCTCCATCAGGAAATGTCCCATTATCGGTAGCAGTCACATCAGTGGTAGTAATTCCATTAACGGCTTCACTGTTTTCCTTCTCAAAACCGGGTAGAGTTGCTTCTTCAACAGTGACTTTTTCAGGTGACACGTCTTCAGCAGCGTCATTTATTTCGTTGTTCACTTTGTTCCAATTGAAATGACCTGGACCATGATAATGCCAAAGCCTGTTGGCATGCACCACCTTTGGTTTACATCGCCGACCACATTTTATTCGGAAAGACACGTTTGAGAGACGATCCACTATGTCATATGGGCCTCCCCATGGAGAAGACAACTTAGGATACCTCCCTTTGGTCTTCCTGGGATTATACAACCACACCTTGTCTCCTGGTACAAAGCTGACTTCAGTAGATTTCTTATCATAACATAGCTTCATGGAATCAGCAGATGTTTTCAAGTTTGAATGCACTTAATGATGAATATCATCCATTCTTCCAGATAACACTTTAACAAACTCTGACACATTTTCAGGCAACTCTTTATAAGGTGGGCGTCCTGTTATCAGGTCCACTGACAACCGAAGTTCCCAACCAAACATTAGCTTTGCTGGAGTGTATCCA